AGTAATCCTCCTCCTCCCACGACCACGCCGGCAAGGACAGGACGCTTTACAGGCGTGTTGTTGATGGAGGACATGCAGAGCTTTTTAAGTCCTACGCATCGCCACAGCCCTTCGGGATCCACCCTCAGAGAACGACTCGACCGACAGGTAGCAGACTACCTCGCCTTAACTGCAGATATCGACACTCTGAGGAGCAATGAACCCCTTCACTACTAGGTGTGCAGGCTTGACCTGTGGCCTGAGCTATCCCAATTTGCAATAGAACTTCTGGCCTGCCCCGCTTCAAGTGTCCTGTCAGAAAGGACCTTCAGTGCTGCAGGAGGTATTGTCACTGAGAAGAGAAGTCACCTAGGTCAAAAAAGTCTAGATTACCTCACCTTTATTAAGATGAATGAGGGATGGATCCCGACGGGACTGACAGTGGGCGATATATCAGACTAAAAAAGGACTCATGAGATGACCTGCCTTGGTCTAGAAATGGTCCACACGCTGCTGTATTTTAGCTCTGAATGCCGGTTGACTTGCGTGACTCATCCGCCACCAACTAGGGTTCAAGCCGCAATGTTTTAGGGCAGTGCTCCCCAACCTTTTTATCGCCGCGGACCGGTAAACGTTTGATCCACGAACCGGTCTGCGGCCTGGGGGTTGGGGAACACTGTTTTAGGGCACTTTCTGCCTGGGAAACAAACATCAATTCTTCTGGCCGCTGCTACAGCAGCGGCTGCAACAATACCTAATTTTTCAGGCATGTGTACATGCCTAATTTTTCAGGCCTCTGGTGCTGCACTGTGGTTTCAAAAACCAAACCAAAAAAAAGGCACATAACAGGGATTAAACTGATAAGAATAATACTACTTAACACACCTTATAATAACGCAGAGAGAGGAGTCTGAAGAGGAGTCAGAGGAGGAAGGTGGCTTTGAGGAGGTGGAAGACCAAACACAGCAGGCGTCCCAGGGGGCTTGTTGTCACCTTTCGGGGACCCTTGGTGTTGTACGTGGCTGGGTGGAGGAAGAGACCTTTAATGACATCAGTGAGGACAAGGAACGGGACATGGCTAGCTTGGTATCCAACCTTGTGCAAATGGGGAGTTTGCGGTTGTGCAAATGGACTGTTTGCGGTTGTTTGCGGTGCGTTAAACGGGGAGTTTGGTCTGTCACTGTGAAGCGGGCGTAACCCTTACACTACCTGATCGATACAATATCATACAGTAGGTCCCCCCCCCTCATTATTTTTATGGCCCCCACCCACCGCTCACGGGTGGGGGCAGGAGGGAGGACAGTAGCCCCCCCCTTATCCTTATTTACTGAATATTCCCCTGTATAACAATGTTTGGCATTTAGTGAATATTCCCTATTCTGCTCTGTGTCAGTGTGTATCAAGGATCCTTAGGACAGGTGTCAATTCATATCTGCCAAGTGACCCTATGTAGGGGGAACAGTCTCTATTCTGCTCTCTGTCAGTGTGTATCATGGTCTCTGAGGACAGGTGTCAATCCATATCTGCCAAGTGACCCTATGTAGGCGGAACAGTCTCTATTCTGCTCTGTGTCAGTGTGTATCATGGTCTCTGAGGACAGGTGTCAATCCATATCTGCCAAGTGACCCTATGTAGGGGGAACAGTCTCTATTCTGCTCTGTGTCAGTGTGTATCATGGTCTCTGAGGACAGGTGTCAATCCATATCTGCCAAGTGACCTATGTAGGAGGAACAGTCTCTATTCTGCTCTGTGTCAGTGTGTATCAGGGGCTCTGAGGACAGGTGTCAATCCATATCTGCCAAGTGACCCTATGTAGGAGAACAGTCTCTATTCTGCCTGTGTCAGTGTGTATCATGGTCTCTGAGGACAGGTGTCAATCCATATCTGCCAAGTGACCCTATGTAGGAGAACAGTCTCTATTCTGCACTGTGTCAGTGTGTATCATGGTCTCTGAGGACAGGTGTCAATCCATATCTGCCAAGTGACCCTATGTAGGAGAACAGTCTCTATTCTGCTCTGTGTCAGTGTGTACCATGGTCTCTGAGGACAGGTGTCAATCCAATCTGCCAAGTGACCCTATGTAGGGGAAACAGTCTCTATTCTGCTCTGTGTCAGTGTGTATCAGGGGCTCTGAGGACAGGTGTCAATCCATATCTGCCAAGTGACCTATGTAGGAGGAACAGTCCCTATTCTGCTCTGTGTCAGTGTGTATCATGGTCTCTGAGGACAGGTGTCAATCCATATCTGCCAAGTGACCCTATGTAGGAGGAACAGTCTCTATTCTGCTCTGTGTCAGTGCGTATCATGGTCTCTAAGGACAGGTGTCAATCCATATCTGCCAAGTGACCCTATGTAGGAGGAACAGTCTCTATTCTGCTCTGTGTCAGTGTGTATCAGGGGCTCTGAGGACAGGTGTCAATCCATATCTGACAAGTGACCCTATGTAGGGGAACAGTCTCTATTCTGCTCTGTCAGTGTGTATCATGATCTCTGAAGACAGGTGTCAATCCATATCTGCCAAGTGACCCTATGTAGGAGAACAGTCTCTAGTCTGTTCTGTATCAGTGTGTATCATGGTCTCTGAGGACAGGTGTCAATCCATATCTGCAAAGTGACCCTATATAGGAGGAACAGTCTCTATTCTGCTCTGTGTCAGTGTGTATCAGGGGTTCTGAGGACAGGTGTCAATCCATATCTGACAAGTGACCCTATGTAGGGGAAACAGTCTCTATTCTGCTCTGTGTCAGTGTGTATCATGATCTCTGAAGACAGGTGTCAATCCATATCTGCCAAGTGACTCTATGTAGGAGGAACAGTCTCTATTCTGCTCTGTGTCAGTGTGTATCAGGGGCTCTGAGGACAGGTGTCAATCCATATCTGCCAAGTAACCCTATGTAGGAGGAACAATCTCTATTCTGCTCTGTGTCAGTGTGTATCATGATCTCTGAGGACAGGTGTCAATCCATATCTGCCAAGTGACCCTATGTAGGGGGAACAGTCTCTATTCTGCTCTGTGTCAGTGTGTATCATGTTCTCTGAGGACAGGTGTCAATCCATATCTGCCAAGTGACCCTATGTAGGGGGAACAGTCTCTATTCTGCTCTGTGTCAGTGTGTATCATGGTCTCTGAGGGCAGGTGTCAATCCATATCTGCCAAGTGACCCTATGTAGGAGAACAGTCTCTATTCTGCTCTGTGTCAGTGTGTATCATGATCCCTGAAGACAGGTGTCAATCCATATCTGCCAAGTGACCCTATGTGGGAGAACAGTCTCTATTCTGCTCTGTGTCAGTGTGTATCATGGTCTCTGAGGACAGGTGTCAATCCATATCTGCCAAGTGACCCTATGTAGGAGGAACAGTCTCTATTCTGCTCTGTGTCAGTGTGTATCAGGGGCTCTGAGGACAGGTGTCAATCCATATCTGCCAAGTGACCCTATGTAGGGAGAACAGTCTCTATTCTGCTCTGTGTCAGTGTGTATCATGATCTCTGAGGACAGGTGTCAATCCATATCTGCCAAGTGACCCTATGTAGGATGAACAGTCCCTATTCTGCTCTGTGTCATTGTGTATCAGTGATCCTTTGGACAGGTGTCA